TTCAATGCAGGTGTCCACCATGTGGTCCAACACTAGTGCTGCCCCTTTCCTACTGACTGGCTTCCCAGGTCTGGAGACATTTCATCCTTGGATTTCCATCACCTTCTTTGTCATCTATATCTCCATCCTCCTCGGCAATGGCACTCTCCTCTTCCTCATCAGAGAAGACCACACTCTTCATGAGCCTATGTACTACTTTTTGGCTATCTTGTCAGCCACAGATCTAGGAGTGACTTTTACAACAATGCCCACTGTGCTTGGTGTTCTGTGGCTGGATCACAGGGAGATTAGCCATGGAGCTTGCTACTTCCAGGCCTATCTAATTCATTCACTCTCAATTGTGGAGTCTGGAGTCTTGCTTGTTATGGCCTATGATCGTTTTATTGCCATCTGCAACCCCTTGAGATACACCTCCATTCTCACCAATGTTAAGGTGGTGAAGATAGGTCTAGGGGTTCTAATGAGAGGATTTATACTTATTATGCCCATAATCATCACCCTCTCTAAATTCCCCTACTGCAGGTCCCATGTCCTCTCCCATGCCTTCTGCTTGCACCAAGATGTGATCAAACTGGCCTGTGCTGACATCACTTTCAATAGACTCTATCCTATAGCCCTGGTCTCATTAACTGGCTTCTTGGACTCTATGCTTATCCTTATCTCTTATATCTTAATCCTTAAGACTGTTATGGGCATTGCTTCAGGTAAGGAGCAGACAAAAGCTCTAAACACCTGTGTTTCCCATATTAGCTGTGTACTGGTTTTTTATGTCACTGTGACTGGGCTGACCCTCATTCATCGATTTGGGGAATATGTGCCACATGTAGTTCATATCATCATGAGTTATATCTACTTTCTCTTCCCCCCATTTATGAATCCAATAATCTATAGTATTAAGACCAAGCAGATTCAGAATGGTATCAATCGCCTTCTCTCTTTCCATGGAAATTGAGCTTGATTTATTTACTTAGGGGATGCTCCCCATTGAAAGATGAGTTTCTCAGCAGAATGAACTATATGATGCCAATGTGTCTTAGAATTAAAAGGATTGGAATTCCTGTCATTTAAAAGACATAGAGCCATTGCTCTTATTCTCAGCTCCTTGCCCCATCACATCACTAATGACATTGGCTTTAGTTTTGTTGCACTGCTTGGTAGATTGGTTTGCTATTTTCTATGCTGGAAGAATCATTAGTCTTAATGGTTTTGAGGTCAATGACACTTGAAATGATTGCAGGGCCTACGCAAAGAAAGGAGGTTGATAGAGTTTCCAGCACTGTGTGAAAAAAACAGTTCAAATATTTCCTCTGTGCCTTGGTTTTAGAACCCCCCACCCCCACCCTGCTGGTATTGCATGGCATTAGAGTAGATCAGAAATAGATGAGAATAAGGTATTCAGACCAAGAGAGGTCTTGCTGTTATAACAACCAGAAGTCAAACAAGAAAGATTTCAGCAGATGCCAACGTGGTTAACCCACAAAGAATTGTGAGAAGACCTTTAGTTGATAATATTTGATGTCTTCCAACTAATGAGCTGAGTACTCCAAATTACCTACTAGTATAATAAAATAAAGTTCCATTTCCTGCACACCTAAGGTTTTGTTTTGTGTTCTGCAATTCATAACTTCTACATATGAAAAAGAGATTCAAATAATGGAAACATTCTAATAATAACATCTTTTTTTTCTGGAATGAGAGGTTAGTAATAAACTGCCTTCAAGAAATGTTATAATGTTATAGTTTTGAAACACAAAGTTAATGTAGGGCCTTCCATGCATTTTATTCCTTATAGAAGTCAACATGATCAACGTCTGTACTTTAGCAGTATATGAAGAAAGGCTATGTGTTATTATTTCATCAAGAGATAAGAAGGGTTAGAAAGAATTTTGCACATTATGCAAAATTATAGAAAATATGTTGGCAAATGAAATACCAATATATTCAATCAATAATTAGCCCATGGCTTTTTTTTTAATTTGAGAAGATGAATGTCCTTGGGAAGTTTTCTCCAATCCCAAAAATATTTTTTATGTGCTCCCCTTAGCATGCTATCATCTGTGCAGTAACAGTGCTATGAAAACTTATGATATTTTCTTTCTAATACCCACTATTATGTTATATTCTGTGGAAAAAAGAGACCACATTGCTCATTGTGAACCTGGCACAAACTGATCAATTATGTAAAAATTAAATAATTTTAAGAGAAAAAATTGACTGTCATGCACATGGCTACTAAGGAATTTATTGATGTTCTTCTGTATCAGAACTTATTTTCCTCCAAAGAAGCAGAAAAAACAAAAATGCAATTGGAATTCATAAGTTCTAGGAACAAAGATGGTACAAGTGATCCCTGGGATAAACTAAATCATGTTTGGCATTTGAAGGACACAAAGAAAAGGACATTCATTGATTTCTTAAATCCCAATGCCTAGGATTCTTGGTGTAGGGAAGATGTCACATAACCAAGTCCTGACATTTCTATATCTGCTGGCCTTTGAATTTTCAGTTTTCTTCACACATCTTTTGGGAAACACTTTGTTTAGAGAGAAGAGAGAAGGTAGAGAAATCAAAGAATCTCTTGAGTGGCTATAAAGATGTAACTCTGGGGAGGTGATTTCTACATACATAGCTTGCTAATGAGACCTCTTGAGGAGGCTACACGAAGAAATCACCTGGACTGAGTCTTCAAATAGTTCAGCAATGGGTACCTGTCCCAATAATAAGACCTGAATTGATGAATGTGAGGGACAGAAATATGAATTCACTCCTTTCCCCTCTAAAGTTAGATGCAATCAAGGAAAACAATTCTAAAAGTTTTTCCAGAGGTTTGCATAGAGCGAAGATCTCAGCTGATATGGGCAACACTACAGCCAGATTTTTTTCTTTCTTTCCAATAAGTGTATTAAAGAAAGTGTATTGGATTTGTACTTTCTAATCTGGACCCTTAGATTGGCAGAAGGATAACTGTGAATGCCCTAAATTGAATGTGACATTATGTGCTCTTATTAATTTGTCTGGATAGAGAATTATAGTTTTTATTAGATCCTAACAGAAGACTGTGTTTACTTAAGGAACTGCTCTCTTATAAAGGACATTGGTAATTATCAATGAGGCTCAAGGATAAATCCTGAGATGTTGGCTCTGGCCATCACCCTGGTGCCTATGGGAGCCATTCCTCTATTCCGCTCAGGAAGGGTGGAGTGTATATAAAGAACAGACAAGGGTGGAGGGGAGAGGTATCACACTATCTTCTCTGGCCACTTATTTATTTGGACTTTGAGATGGATTCACAATTCACTATTTTATTTTAAGGTCCATCTTTTTAAGCCTAAAGAATCTTTCATGTACAGAACAACATTTGCACAATTATAATTTACATTTCTATATGACTTAGATGTACTTTAATTTTAGGAATCTCCCAGTGTTGGTGATTTTTATCTCAATGAGTACCATGTCAATGCAGATGTAACGTCAGAGTATTCTGTAACACAAGAGTTGATTTGTCCTGATTCTGGTCTACTTCTGCTATTAAGGACATCTTATGAAGGAGGAAAGCATTCTCCTGCTGAGTATGGAGACATGCCTTGATGCTTCCAAATGTTTGATGAAATAAGTCTGCAGCATAAAAGGTAATATGTCTTCAATTTTGGATTGTGGCAACCAAGAATATGGGCATAGTGGAGATGACTGACATATTTAAGGTGTGGGAGCATTATAATGTGACCAGTCACATAAGCAACAACTTCTCAGGAGTTAAGTGTTAGAGGAAAAGGAGATAGGGCTAAGTGAAAACGTAGAGAAAGAATCTGAACACATAATTATGTGAAATGATTTTGGAAACAAGAACCATTGAATGGTGAAGGAACAATAAAAACAATTGCATGAGAATACTTAGAAGGAATGAGATAATCAACCAGATAGAAAAATAAAAAAGCATCTATCTCCAAAGGTGGAATAAATAGGATATCTTTGGAGCAATGCTTCTCAAATATTACTGTGCACTCAAATCACCTGGAAATTGTGATAAAATGCAAATTTTGATTCAGGAAGTTGGAAGTGGAGGTTAAGGCATCATGTCTAACACATCCACACACTCATTAGCTGTCGCTGGTTGGTGGACCATAGTTCTGGTGACCAGTCTCAAGAAAGGGGTAATTGTTGGAGCAACAAAGCAATTGGAAGGGGTAGTGATGCTTGTTGTGTTCCCAAAACACTGACATTCAATTTCAAAAACAAAGAAGTGTTTGAAAAAAATAATATGTGTATGTGTTTTTCATGATTGTGAAAAAAAATCAAGATCATAATTAAGTTGTATTAAAAGTTAGCAATCAGAGCAAGAAAGCAGCTAAGTGTGATTATTACTCATTTGTATCTATTTATCTTGTTTGTCATTGTTATCACTGTTGCTGAAAAAAATTTAAAGATACACATACTAGTGCCAAACCGGTTTGGCTCAGTGGATAGAGTGTCGGCTTGTGGACTGAAAGGTTCCAGGTTCGATTCCGGTCAAGGGCATGTACCTTGGTTGCGGGCACATCCCCAGTAGGAGGTGTGCAAGAGGCAGCTGGTCGATGTTTCTCTCTCATTGATGTTTCTAACTCTCTATCCCTCTCCCTTCCTCTCTGTAAAAAATCAATAATATATATATATATATATACACACACACACATATATATATTTTATATATATATATTTTAAAGATACACATACTAGTAAGAACTGATGTTTTAAGAATAATAATTTTTTTTTTTAATTTGAGAATATGCTAACCATTAACCTAACTTTTTGTTCTAATTAGGGAAAGACCAACATTCCTCATCTCAACTAATACCTGCAAGTCTCTACTCTCCTGCAGGGAAATAATTGCAGAGTTATATTTAATTATTCCAAACTTTAAAGATGGTGACTTTGAAGATACTGCCATGATACATTACTACTGAAAAATCTGGTTTCCTGGATTAAAGATTTCTGGGAAGCTGCTCCTCACCTGTAGACATATTATGTGGCCCAATATTAGTGCTGCCCCCTTTCTGCTGACTGGCTTCCCAGGCCTGGAAACAGCTCATCACTGGATCTCCATCCCCTTCTTTGCAGTCTATGTCTCTGTGCTTTTTGGCAATGGCACTCTCCTCTACCTAATCAAGAATGACCACACTCTCCATGAGCCCATGTACTATTTCCTTGCCATGCTGGCGGGAACAGATCTGATGGTAACATTGACCACGATGCCAACTGTAATGGGTGTATTATGGGTGAATCATCGGGAGATGAGCCACGGAGCCTGTTTCCTGCAGGCCTACTGTATTCACTCTCTTTCCATTGTAGAATCAGGTACCTTGCTTGCCATGGCCTATGACCGTTTTATTGCCATTCGCAATCCCTTGAAATATACTTCCATTCTCACCAATACTCGAGTGGTAAAGTTAGGGTTGGGAGCTTTTATGAGGGGTTTTATATCCATTGTGCCTGTAATTGTGCGTCTTTTTTCATTTCCATATTGTCACTCTCATGTTCTCTCTCATGCTTTCTGTCTTCACCAAGAAATCATGAAACTGGCCTGTGCTGACATAACTTTCAATAGACTGTACCCTGTCATTCTGATTTCTTTAACGATCTTCTTAGACTCTTTGATCATCCTGTTCTCCTATATCCTAATTCTTAAGACAGTCATGGGCATAGCTTCTGGTAAAGACAGAGCCAAGGCCCTCAATACCTGTATCTCTCACATTGGTTGTGTCCTCATCTTCTATGTCACTGTTATCGGTCTGTCATTTATTCATAGGTTTGGGAAAAATGTGCCACAAGTGGTCCACATTGTAATGAGCTATGTATACTTTCTCTTTCCTCCTTTAATGAATCCTATCATTTACAGCATCAAGACCAAGCAAATTCAATATGGCATTCGCCGCCTTTTAACTAAACATACAATTGAAAGTTAAACTCTGATGTGGGTGACTGCCCAGGAAAGAAGGTGGGGATCAGAGATTTCTCTGAATTGAGAGCAAAGAAATTCACAAGGTCTCAAAACTTTCTGTAGCAGCCTCCACTTCTTCAAATGATACAATGACATCTATTAGGCTCATCAGGGGTCTGCTCTTGACTTCACAAATTTGGCATTCGTTAGGTTCACGGATTGATGTTTGTCATTATCCTGTGTTCTTCTCTCTAAATGTTAAGTAGAGAAAATAAATATTTCTGATACATCTGGAAGATTAAGTATAATTTGTTTTTGTTATATTTAATTAATATTATTGCTATAAACCATAGATTTTAGTAGTTTTTCAGTTTGATGTATCAATTTACATGTCTGTCTTTGAACTTCTCTGCTCATATTGCTTGCTTATTTTCCTATTAGGGTGTTCATGCTTTCCTAATTTATTTGTGGGAGTGTATTATGATAAATAAACCCCGTGAGTCATTGATATTGAAAAATGTCCACTATACATATATATATTTTTAAATTTTATGTGTAAATAACTTTATTAATATTTGTGTTATTAAGATTTGGAGACCATTTGATAAAGACTTCCTTAATTTCATGTTTACTTACATATTGTTTTATATTTTGAACAACATTTTACATATTTTATTTTATATTAGGTTAATATTTGGAGAAAAGGAAATTAGTCCTCAAGGTAGTATCACTATTCATTTGGCCATTATTTTAAGGTATGAGACAGGAATAACACTAAACAAAAATGTTATAACTGCAAGCAAACAGATATAAAATATTGTCTATGCAGATCACAGTCCACTGGAGAATCAAATTTCAAATAAATCTAAATTTAAAATAATCCCCATGACTAGCAATAAAAATATTAAAATAAACTGCTTTGAGGATGTGGGTCTCAAAAAGAATCACATTGAGACTGGTTAGAGAAAAGTTCCCTGAAGAGTGTGCCTTGAACTGAGATATGGGGGTAGATTAGAAATTAACTGGTGAAAATAGACATACTGATGTTATAGCAGAGGTAATATGTGAGGAGGCTGTAGGAGGACTGAATCATAGAACCTTTTTAAAATGCGGCTGATAGTTGTAAGGAGAGGTTGAGGAGAAAAAGGGTGTTTAAATCAATAGCATTCTATTTGCCATTGCTGGGGTCTACATGTCTATTCTAGAGTCACGGGAAGCTATTGAATAGTTCTAAGCAAAGGAGAAACATGATTTCAGTGATACTGGCCGATTATAAGTTCACATATCATGTGGATTTAAGTGATACAAGCAAAGAAAAAGAAAATAAAGAGAGAGTGTAGCAATTCCATAAAGAGATACCCATAGCTAAAATTATTTAAGTGAAAATGAATTTAGTGAGTACATAAGAGATATATTTAGAATCAAATTAATGAGATGTAGGGTTCTGATCAAGATGGCAGCATAGGTAAATAAGGCACTCAAATTCTCCCACAACACCTCAAAATTACAACTAAACTATAGAATAACCATCATTCATAACCACCTGACCCTACGGGACACCTACTATATAAGTTTACTCAACCAAGTCCAGGATACATAGCAGCTCTGCCTAATGCATAAAAACATACCCAGGGAGGCTGCTAAATGAAGAGGAAATAAAAACATCCCAAATGAAAGGACAAAAAAAAAAACTCCAGAAATAGAACTAAGTGAAATCTATCAGACAAATAGATTATCAATTCCTTGCTCTCTTTTTTCTCCTTCCTGCACCCCTGTGATGCAAATATTGGTATGTTTGTTTCATGTTGTCCCAGAGGCTCATGACAAGAAATCTATCAGATGCAGAGTTCAAAATACTGGTTACAAGAATAGTCAAAAAATTTAGGGGAAGAATAGATGACTTACTGAGAACTTTAACAAAAACAAAAGAAACATAAAAAGAAATATAGAGCTCTAGCCAGTTTGGCTTGGTAGATAGAGCATTGGCCTGTGGACTGAGATGTTTCTTTCTCTCTCTCCCTCTCCCTTCCTCTCTGAAATCAATATATGTATATATTTATTTTTTAAATGACTATAGAAAACAAAAAAGCAATCAGAAATTAAGAATATATTAATTAAAATGAAGAATACATTATAAAGAATTAACATTAGAGTAGATGAAACAGAGGATCAAATAAGAGATTTGGAAGATAAAAAAGCAGAAAACAGCCAATCAGAAGAGTGAGAACAAAAAAAGATTTTTTTAAAAATGAGGATAGTATAAGGAGCCTCTGGGATAACATGAAACAAATATACCAATATTTGCATCACAGGGGTGCAGGAAGGAGAAAAAAGAGAGCAAGGAATTGATAATCTATTTGAAAAAAAAATAATGATGGAAAAGTTCCCTAATCTGGTGAAGAAAATAAGCATACAAGTCCAAGAGTTCCAAACAAGATGAGCCCAAGAGGCCCACCTAAGGCACATCATGGGGATGTAAAGTACAGCAATGGTTAAAGACAAAGAGGGAGTTTTAAAAGCAGCAGGAGAAAAGTAGTTAGTTAACTAGAAGAGAGCATCCATAAGAATATTAGCTGATTTCTCAACAGAAACTTTGCAGGCTAGAAAGGGATATTCAAAGTGATAAAAAGCAAGGACCTACAACCAAGATTAGAGTTGAAGGACAGATAAGAGCTTCTCAGACAAGAAAAAGCTAAAGAAGTTTATCATCACCAGACCTGTATTACAAGATATGCTAAAGGGTATCTTTAATAATAATGTACAAAAAGATAAAAATATGAATAATAAATGACTATAAATACATATCTATCAACAATTGCTTTAAATGTAAATAAATTAAATGATCCAATCAAATGACATATGGAAGCTGATAACAAAACAAGACCCTTACATATGCTATCTACAAGAGACTCACTGCAGATCCATAGACACACACAGATGTGAAAGTAAAAGGATAGCAAAATGTATTTCATTAAAATAGAAATAAATAAAAAAGGATAGGGTAACAATATTTGTACCAGACAAAATAAAGTTTAAAATAAAGGCTATATAACAAAATACAAAGAAGGACCCAGCAATTTCACTTCTAGGGATTTATCTGAAGAAACTCAAAACACTAATCAAAAGTTACCATAAATAGGTAAAACATTAAGAGCATTATATTAACACTAGAGGCCCAGTGTATGAATTCATGCATGGGTGAGGTCCCTTGGCCTGGTGGGCAATCCAGGCCTATCAGGGGGCCAGCCAGGGGAAGGGACCCTGGGAGGTTGGCTGGCCAGGGGGAGGGGCCTCAGGTGGTTGGTCGGCCAGCCCCATCCCCAATCAGGGTGAGAGAGAGCAGATAGGGGGTGGGGCTGGTCAGGGGGAGGGGCCACAGGAGGTTGGGGGACCAATTGGGGCCCAGATCAGGCTGATTGGCCGCCGCAGTGCACGTCATAATGACCCATCATTCTGGTCGTTCAGGATGTTCTGCTGTTTGGTCGCTGGGCTTTTATACATATAGATAGCCAAAATATGGAAGCAACCTAAGTGTTCTTCAATAGATTAATGGATAAAAAAGAAGATGTGTTGCCCTAACTGGTTTGGCTCAGTGGATAGAGCGTTGGCCTGTGGACTCAAGGGTCCCAGGTTTGATTCTGGTCAAGGGCATGTACCTTGGTTGTGGGCACATTCCCAGTAGGGGGTTTGCAGGAGGCAGCTGATCAATGTTTCTAACTCTCTATCCCTTTCCCTTCCTCTCTGTAAAAAATCAATAAAATATATTTTTAAAAAAAGAAGAGGTGCATATATACAGTTGAATATGACTCAGCCATAAAGAAGAATGAAAGCTTTCCATCTGCAACAACATAGATGGACCTAGAGAATATTATACTGAGTGAAATCAGTCAGAGTAAGACAAATGCTAGGTGATTTCACTTATATGTGAAATCTAAAAAACAAACAAACAAAATAAATGAACAAGAATAGAAACAGACTCATAGATACAGAGAACATTTTGACATTTGGCAGATGGGATGGTAGTTTTGGGGATGAGTGGTAAAGGGGACAGGATTAAGAAGTACAAATTTGTAGTTAAAAATAGTCATAGGGATGTAAAGTACAGCACAGGGAATATGTTTAATAATATTGCAATACCCTAGTATGGTGCCAAGTGGGTGGGTACTAGATTTATCAGGGTAATTAGTTAGCAAGTTATATAATATCTAATCACTGGGTTGTACACATGAAAGTAATATAATGTCAACTGTAATTAAAATAAAAATAATTATTTAAAGTATTCATGAGATTTGCAGGCATTTTTAGAAAAGTATCTGAATATAAACTTTGGAAGAAATAATATAATATTAAATTTCTGGATTGTTTATAAGAGCATTAGTGTTATCAGTCCAAAAATGATTGCTGACTATGTATCAAACAGAAAAATTTTAATATGTTTTTAAATATTCTGAAAATTTGAAAATCAGTAAAAGTCCAAGGGATGAAGTCACGACCTATTAAAATGACCAAAGGAAATATTCTATGCTGTAACATTAAGCTTTTAAGAGTCATTAAGTAGTCATATATTGAAATAATTTTTAGTATGTGTATCTTTTTGACATAGTAAAACCTAGGTCTATGTCAATATGTGCTGACAAATAATGGGGTATAAGACAATAGGGGGGTAAATGAGCCATTGACACTAGAAAAAAAAAGCTGATAGAATACATGAGTCTCTGCATTCTTATCAATGAAAAGAATAGGCTAGATTAGTTTCCACTGCTTTCACTCAGTGTGTACGAGAAAAACTATGAGCCAGTTCTAAATGAATAGTCTAAACAAAATGCTCAAAATAATACATAAATTATGATATTCAGCAATTGGTTAGAGATGGAGAATCAGATATAGATATAAAGACAAAGATAGAATAAAGAACTAACTCCTAGATTCCTCTCTAAGCAAAGAGCATTGGAAAATAACGTGTTTTTGTTTTGTTTTGCTTTGCTTTGCTTTCACAAAAGCTTTAATAAGTTACCACAGGGCTGG